GTCCTTGAGCTAGCAGACTTGGGGCAACCAACTGGCAGAGGCCAGCCATGGCCACCCAGAGCCAAGGGCAGCAGCTGGAGCTAGGACGACAGTGCAGTGAGAGGACTACAAACCTGTGTAACTCAGCTACAGGGGAGGAACCTACACAGAGCCTGTGCATGGAGAGGGCCAGCAAGAGGAAGGGATGCCATGACGCCAGAATTCTTGCTAGAGTCACAGGTGGAATAGCAGTCCATCACTGAAACAGAGAAACAAGACTCAGAGTGGAAGTAAACAGCCAGAGATGCTGGCAGGTGGGATGGTGGTTAAGGGCAATGGCCAACAGTGGTTCAAGTCCCAGACCTGGCGGCTCAATTTCTCACTTTCCTTCTTTCTCTCTGGTCGAAAATAATAATAATACAGGGACCAGCAGTTAGCATAATGGCTATGTCACTGGACTCCCATGTAGCTGACCGCAGTTCCAGTCCCAGAACTAGTGGCTTAAACTCATACCAGGCGCGTGTGTGTGCGTGCCCAAGATCCCGAGAGGAGAATGGAGGAGAAGGGATTGCAGCATGGCCATCCTCCAGGGGCTGATTTCTCACTATCTATCTCTGTTTCTCTCTATCTGTCCGGTGCGCGTGCCCTATAGCAAAAACCTCTACCCCCCCCAAAAAAAAAATAATATAAATAAAATAAACCTTATAAAAAAAACAAAAAGAGGTGTGGACCAGCAGGTGGTGTGGTGGTTAAGATGCTGGACTCCCATATGGTCAACCATAGTTCGATTCCCAGACCTGGTGACCTGCTTTCTCTCACTGGCAAGCACATGTATCCTACAGTAAATATAAAATTAAAAATAATAATAATATTTTAAAAAGAAATTCATACTTAAAAATAAAAACCAGAGGGGTTGGCAGGTGGCGTGGTAGTTAGGGTGCTGGACTCCTACTCGAACTCTGACTGTGGTTCGAGTCTCAGACCTAGTGGTTTGCCTTCTCACTTTACCTCTCTGTCTCTCTCTGGTCAAAGTAAAAAATAAAAATAACAAATTAAATTAATTAAATAAATAATTCTAAAAATATATAATAAAAAATAAAAACCGGAGATGCATACGGGACATCTGGACGGTGTCGGTCGAGGACGCAGTCACAGCAGACTGCAGCCATGGCTGAGGGTGTGGTCCCTAGGAAGAGCACTCAGACCCACCCAGAAGAGAGCGTGGGACACAGTCTCAAGGAAGTTGCCCACACCTAGGAGCTGGGAGGAGGGAGACCGGCCCAGCCAAGGGGACTGAGAGGAGGAAAGAACAGTGAGGACAGCCCGCCAGGGCAGTGAGGGAAGCGGACGGCTACCAGGTCAGCACTGAGTGTTGAGGAAGAAACGGACGTGATCTTCCAGGGAGAGGACAGGCTGGAAGGCAGGCAGGGAATGCTGTCTTAAACTCAGGGGGACAAGAAGCCCACTGATCTTGCTATGCTCAATATAGACCTCCTGGCTATTGTTTTTCAGAAGAAAGGGAAAAAATAAGAACAAGAGGAATAAATATCAGAAGGAAAGAAATATCATTATTTGTAAATGGTGTAACTATTCACATGGTACCACAGAGTGACTCACAGAGAATCAGCATATTTAAATACTTCTAATATTTATTAGAATTAGAGCTTAGCAAGGTTAGGAGAAAAAGATCAACTGAAAAAAATATTTCTCTACACGAGCAGCAACTAGAAATGCAACAGAAAATGAATGTACCGTTCCTAATAGCAAGAAAACTCATAAAACATTCAGGAATCAACAGAACAAAAGCTCTGCACAACCTCCACAGAAAACAATCTTAAACTGTTACGAGATCTAGGCAGACACGGCAGTCTATGGTCTGGGATAGGTCAATTTAACAGCATTGTAAAGAACTAGCTCTCCCGAAATGACCTATCACGCCGTCAGTCTTATTCTATTATTATTATTCCTTAGAAACTCAAAAGTTATTTCAAATGCATAGAAAAGTGTAATGGTTCACAAATAGCTAAATCAGCACAGAGACAGAGACAGAGATAGAGATAGAGAGAGAGAGAGAGAGAGAGAGAGAGATGAGAAATGGGTTCTGTGAGGTAACAAACCAGGCTGGCACTCACATATGGAAAATATGAAAATATGAGTAGTAGGGGCCAGCGTGGGGCCTGGTGGTTAAGCTGCTGGACTCCCACATGGCTGACCACAGTTCGAATCCTGGACCTGGTAACTTG